ACCAGAACAGCCTTCCTGAGAATGAGCTAGAAGGATGGAGGGGTTTGAAATGCTCTGTCTTGGAGAAGAATGGAGTTCATGTATCAGTTAAAAAATGAAATAAAATTTGAAACACTTTTAAATGCAAAAAAGGAAAAAGAAGAGGAGGAAGAAGAGAAAGAGGAGACAGAGGGAAAAACAGGAGAGGAAAGAGCAAAGAGAGAAGGAAGAAAAGGAAGGAGCAGGATGAGAGAGTCAGGTACTAGGCCACCAAAGCCCTGGTACAGTTCTGGGGCTAGCACCTCATTCCTTTGGCTGCAGGTTTTTGTTAAACTCAGTCTTTCCCTTCCCTTGAGAAGGGCCCTGGTTGTCTCAGGGGCATTCATCCTACTCGGAAGCAAGGCTTGAGGGAGAAGCTTTCCAAAGCAGAGGAAGTTAACCCAAGGACAAGAAAGTGAGCTGATTCTTGGGGATTCACAGGATCAGGAAACCCTAGTTCTAGGCCTGGGTCTGAATAAGAGCCCAACCTGCTCACTGCTTTCTTAAGACCACGCTGTCTGTCTGACCCAGTGCCAAGTACATAAAGAGCACTTCAAAATGAGTGAGCGGATTTGATTCTGAGGCCTCCAAACTTCAATCCTGAGCCTCTCCAGCATCCCCAGATGCCCCAGTTTCAGAAGATGGGTTAGGAAGAGCCTTGACCCTCTGATCACTCCGTCCTCAAAGCAGCCCCACTAAGGCCACACCCATGACTCCACCAGGGGCAGCAGAAAGGAGCTGAGGGACACAAATGGTACTTCACTGGTGCTTTATTATACAGAAGAATCCAAATATTTACATCCTGACAATTTTCACATGGCTGGAGATGGCACAGGACTAGAACCCGGAAGGGCACATAGGAGTGGTGGATGATGGGTGAGAGAACTTGCCAAACCAGAGCAGAGGTAATTAGAGAGGACAGTTCCAGAAAGGATCAGGGTTCTAGCTACCTCCCACAATCCTCTCTTACTCAGCCCTGCTAATTGTCAGCTCTTCTTTCTTCCCCTCCTTCACCTTTTTCCCCCCTTYGGTGAGGAATGAACACCCTATAACTGAACTACATCCCTGATCCTTTTCATTTTGAGACAGGTTCTTGCTGGGTTGCTAAGGCTGGCCCAGAACTTGAAATCCTGCTGCCTTAGCCTCCTAGGCAGCTGAGATCACAGGTGTGGCACCACCACACTGTGCTCCCTCCCTCTTTTTTTTTTTTTTTTTTGTGTGTGTGTACCAGGGATTGAACTCAGGGAAACTTAACCACTGAGCCTCATCCCTAGCCCTATTTTGTATTTTATTCAGAGACAGGGTCTCACTGAGTTTAGCTTAGTTTAGCTTAGCCCCTTACTTTTGCTGAGGCTGGCTTTGAACTTGCAATCTTCCTGCCTCAGCCTCCTGAGATGCTGGATTACAGGTGTGTGCCACCACACCTGATTCCTCCCTTACTCTTTAAACCTTATTCTTCCTGGCAAAGGAAGCAAGTAGGTTGGGAAGGAGAAGGCCCAGCTATTAACTCTGCTGACCCATAGGCTTCCCATTTTAGCTCTGGATTGTTTTGGATTTTTCCTTTTGGTATGTACCTAAGTGCTCAGCAAACTATGAGCCACCATGAGAGGTTCTCCTCCACAAGTCAGTCTGCCAACGCAGAGCACACAGAGCCCAGGTAAGCATACACTGAGCCAGCAGCTCCCAACATTTACACCACTCTAGTTCCTTTCTTTGGGCCGATTCTTTCCCATAGGCACCATTTTGAAAGAGTTTGTCAATCAAACAAAATACACTTACGTGCATCAAAAAAATTTGGTTTTTGATTTTTGTGATGAATCAAAGACATACATGATCTTCATAAACTTCTACTGACCACAAAGGAGATAGCTAAAGTAAATGAACATACTGACTTGCTAGGAATTCAGTAAAAAATAAAATAACAGAGAAAGCACTATATAATCTTCTCCTGGGCAAATGCACAACATTGACTTTTTATTTATTTTTTTAAGAGAGAGAGAGAGAAGAGAAAGAGAGGATTTTTTAATATTTATTTTTTAGTTTTCGGGGGACACAACATCTTTGTTTGTATGTGGTGCTGAGGATCGAACCCGGGCCGCACGCACGCCAGACGAGCGCGCTACTGCTTGAGCCACATCCCCAGCCCAACTAGACTTTTTAAATAGTGAAAACAGTTCACGGTGCCAGGAATCGTGGCACATGCCTMTAATCCCAGCAACACAAGAGGGTGAGGGAGAAGATCACAAGTTCCAGGCCAGCCTGGGCAATTTAGTGAGACTCTGTCTTGATAAAAAATAAAAAGGGCTGGGTTTGTAGCTCAGTGGTACAGGGCTAAAGGGTCCAATCTCCATCACAGAAAAAAAGAAAGGAAGGAAGTGTTTTAGCTTTTTCACTGCTGTGACTAAAAGATCTGAACAAAACAATTTTAGGAGGAAAAGTTTACTTGGGGGCTTACGGTTTCAGAGGTCTCAATCCATAGACAGTAGGCTCCATTCTTCAGGCATCAAGGTGAGACAGGGCATCATGGCAGAAGAGTGTGGCAAAGGAAAGCAGCACACATGATTATCAGAAAGGGGAGAGAGAGAGGAGAGAGAGGAGAGAGAGGAGAGAGAGGAGAGAGAGAGAGAGAGAGAGAGAGAGAGAGAGAGAGGAGAGAGAGGAGAGAGGGAGGGAGGGAGGGAGAGGGAGGGAGGGAGAGAGAGAGAGAGAGAGAGACTCCACTCTCCAGATACAAAATATATACCCCATAGCCACATCCCCAATGAACCACTTCCTCCAGCCACACTCCACCTGCCTCTAGTTACCACCCAGTTAATCCCATCAGGGACTAATTCACTGATTAGATTAGGGCTATTTCTTCTCCAAACTTTTCTGCATTGTCTCACATGTTGAGCTTTGGGGGGACAACTCACATCTACATCACAACAGGAAGAAATGTAAAGAAAAGAAGAAAAGAGTTTATGGGAAACAGCTCCACTCCCTTCCCACACACCTCTCTTCTGTCCCGCCTTGGCTGATGCCCAGATCTTTAGAAGCAGACAGTAAAGTTGGACAGCAGTGCCACCCTAGCACTGACCAAAAAGCACAGGCTCCCTTACCAAAGAAGCAGTCACATGTAGGGAACAGTCCCTAAAACTCCYAAACCTCTAGCACACAGCCACTCAAGACTGGCTCCCTAACTCCAAGGGAAACAGGGATCCTATGGTGAAGAGGGGAACTAGGCTGACTTTCTAGAAGTGAAGGCTCCCCAAAATCATACCCATGTTGTCTTCCATGAAGTTATCAGAAAACTCATTTCTCTTTTAAGAATTACCAATTCTCAGTACCCAAAGTAAAACAAACTCCCTCTATCAAGAAAACTCTTGATCATCCCTGGGCAATTAGGGACAGCACCATAGTTTAGTGAGTGACTACTCTGAAGTTGACCCCCTGGTAGGACCCTAAGGAATAATAAGGTCAGTTTATTCATTTGGAGCCTATAAGAATCCAGGAAACTCAACTAGTCAAATGATATTTTAAGATGTGTCAAGTTAAATATGGTCTTTGCCTCATCCCTCCAGCCCAGCCTAGACACCTTGTGAACCTATGTTGGAGTTCCCACTAGGCATTGGGAGCAGCAGGGAGACAGGACAAGCAAAGCTGCAGAAACTTGAGCTGTGAAACTCAAGAGCTTTCTCAGGGTTGTCTTAACCGTGGAGGTCCTGTGGGTAGGTCCTGGCTAGGGATCACAACAGAATTCAACAGAACAGAGTTTCATTCAGTCTCAGGATTCCAGACTCTGTCCTTTGAGTTTGACTGATGTTGGAGTGCCCTGGAAAAAGTCTCACCCATTTCTGGGTCTTGGATTCTTTTTTATGTTTGCAAGAATTAGCTTTCATATTTGTAAGAATGCACCAGGTTCTCACCCTCTCACCCTGAGATTGAATGTGTATGTGGGGTGAGAGGTACTCTATAGACCTTCAGATGCACTTGGGAAACCACAGATAAGAAAGTCATGAGGGGAAAGGCAGAAAGGTCAGGCCTATTCGAGGAACCCAGGACTCCCAGGTAGTCACATGCTTCTAAAAGCATTGTAGGAACCTCCTCTCTGCTAGGTAATGGATCCTTATCCCACAGAAAGACAGAATAAGAAGGATAAGAAGGGAAGACCAGGCTTGTGACAGTTGGTGGCAGGGTGCATCTGATGGAGGACCATAGGAAGGCAACTCAGAGCCAGAGAGAACCCAGACTGCTACACAGTTCCTAGTGTATACCTTGCTAGGATCTAACAATCCTCCTTCTTGCTGGAGGCAGGAGTTTCACTGCTGCTTGGATGTAGGAGGGGGTGGGGAAGCACACACAGGATCCTTTTCCTCAGTCTTGCCTGAGGGTGCTGAAGCTGTAACCATGACAGCCTGTTTCTCCCCATCCTTCTCTAGGTAAGACAAGCAGCTTGGGAGGTAGAGTACAAAGAGTCTGTCCCGGCTCATGGAATCACCAGTTGCCTCTGGACTTCACCCCAGGTTTGGGACTTTCAAAAAGTGATGACACTTGGTGTGGTGGCACACACTTGTAATCCCAGCAACTCGGGAGATTGAGGCAGGAAGGATCATAGATTCAAAATCAGTCTCAGCAATTTATTGAGGCCCTAAGCAACTTAGCAAGATCCTGTCTAAAAATAAAAAATAAATAGAACTAGGGATGTAGCTCAGTGGTTAGGTACCCCTGGGTTCAATCCCTAGTGCCAAAAAAAAAAAAAAAAAGTGATGTGATGTGATTTTGTGGTGTCACTGGGTAGCACTAGATGGTACAGACAGTACTAAATCCTGTGAGCTAGTAACAGATATTCCATGAAAACCAATCAATCAAAGAGAATTGTTGTCTAAGAATTGGAGAATGGGATTAAACAGAGTTCAATAGATTTTACTGCTGTAGAAGTTTTTAGGGCTTTTACTATATTAACATGTTCTCTAAGAAAGGGACATAATGTGTAATCCCTTCCAAAGCTCATTTTAATAGGAAGTATTTTTTCATGGCAAATGTCAAGATTAATGGGACACAGAACACGTTTTATATCCTATGCATAAGTCAAAGGGGAGATGCCAAATGCCCTTGGTGGCCCCCTTTTCTGTTGTGTCTCCGTGTCCACTGTGCCATGATCCTGGCCCTATCGGGTCCCCACCTCCTTCCCTGTCTTTTATTTCACTCCTTACCCTTAAGCAAATTTCCAGGTCTCTGGTCCACAGCTTTGGACCTGACAGGGAAGAGGCAGCATGAAGGTGAAGATGAGGAGGGCCAAGGGGATACTGGGCCAAGAAGCCCTCACTGGTGATGGTCWCAGAGAGAGGAGACCAACAGAACCAGGCCCTGCTGTGGATCACACTGGTGAGTTTAGGTTGTATTTATTTATAAGCAGCCATCATTGAGGGAGTGGGGAGAGAAGGAAGGGAAGAGATGGAAAGAGAAGAAGGGGGAAGGACATTTATAAGTGTGAGGCAAAGACTGAGCCCGAGGGCCTGAAGCCCCCACCCGCCGACGAGCCCCCTCCTGAGGATGTGGCTCCCTCCGCCTTCAGCAGCAGTTCTCCATCCACAGAGGGTTGTGGATTCCCAAAGTGGGTTCCCTCTGGCTCTATAAAATGGCTTCCCTCCAGTCTGGGGCCCCCTGGCTGCTGACAGGAGATGAAGGTCACTGAGGGGAAGCCATAGGTCTCCAGCCCAGGGGGCCGTCCAGCCTCAGAAGCTTCCAGAATGAGATCCACATCAGAGAAGGCCACAAGAGCCTGGGTGGAATCGCAGGAGCTCTTCTCCAGCTCGTTGGCAGCAGCGTAGGCCAGGGGCCCAGGAGCTCCTGGGCCCGGCCAGAGCCTCCGAAGGTCATCCCTGAAGTGGGGGTTGAAGAGCAGGTAGAGCAGGGGGTTGAGGCAGGCAGGCAGCGGCAGCACCACAAGCAGGACAGACTTGACGGCCTCGGGGGTGACAGGGAAGAGGCCCATCATGGAGGCGAAGCTGAGGAAGGCCACGGGACAGTAGAGGAGCCCATCCGCGAAGATGAGCCAGGCCACATGCCTCACCATGGCACAGTCCCACACGGCCTCAAAGTCGCCCCGCGGCAGGTCGCAGTAGAGTTTGATGTAGSCACCGGCCACCACCAGGAAGCAGAAGGAGTTCATCATGACCAGGGCCACCGCGAAGCCCAGGGCGGCCGGCTGGCCCTCGGGCGGGGCGTAGGGCAGGCAGAGCGGGGAGGCCCCGTACTCTCCCACCGAGGCCAGCGGCAGGGCGGCGGCCAGCCCTGCCAGCGACAGGCAGCCCAGGGCCCCGGCTCGGACACTGCCCAGCGAGGGCGCCTTCCCGTAGGCCCGCACGCACGACACGGAGACGCTGCACTGCACGGCGGCCAGGGTGAGCAGCAGCACCGACGCCTCGGACCCCAGGACGGCCAGGAAGCCSGTGGCCCGGCAGCCCAGCCCCGTCTCCCAGCGGGCTCCGTACTCGGCGAACTGGCCAAAGGTCAAGGCGTCCACGGAGGCCAGAAGGCCACAGGAGATGCCCGTCAAGGTGTTGGCGCCGGCGATCGCACCTACCACAAACTTGACCGGGGACAGGGGCATGGGCCCGCCGGCAAACACGGTCAGCAGCACCAGCCCGTTGCAGAGCACGGAGAGCAGCACGATGGCCCACACGGCCAGGCGGATGCCCCAGCTCTCAAAGAGGTGCTCGCAGGGCTTGAAGGGGCCTGTAGGAGAGAGGGACGGACGTCACCCCTGGCCGAGGCTGCCGCGACTGGTCCTGGGAGAGAGCCTCTGCCCGAACAGAAACCCTGGCCTGAGGGAGGCTGACTTGGCCTCTGCGCTCCAAGAGCTGCAAACGGAGTGAACACTAACCCTCCTCCTGATACCCAAAGCGCAATCCCGATTACTACACTCAAGAAACGATAAGTCCATCTTTCCAAAGGAGCAACATTTGGAAGGATGGAAGAGACAGATGGGCACCAGAACTGGGGATACTACTGCAGTAGTAGAGACACAGTCCTTTGAGGGGCTGCCCAGACAGTAACACTCTTATTGCTGAGGCTCTGCCCAGTGACCCACTAAGGACTCCATTGTGGATGAGCCCTGACGGGCTATCATACCAGTCTGGCTTTCCCTTGCTGAGAACGGTATAGGCAGATTTCATATTCATCTGTCAATCAGAATGTGGGAGGAAAACAAATAATCAAAACATAGAGGACTTCTGAGGTTTTCCAACCTGACTTTGCACTAGATGGGTGAGATCCTGGTGTTTCCCACCACTCTTCTCAGAGTCTGTTCTTAAATCACTTTATGACTTTGGACATATTATTTCTTCATTTCCTTTGGCTTCAGACTCTTGTTTCTCAATGTATTGCTAGGTGGTTTGGGAATTTGAGAGGCTTTTGCAGGAGCTACTTTTAAAACATTTTTTCTAATTATGAAATAATAGTAATTGTAGAAATTTTGAAAATATAACATGGAAAAATTCTCTTCTTAGAGAGAAGTCATTATTTTGGCATGTTTCCTTACAGAATTTCTTCTAAAATGTACGTATACATGCGGATTTTTTTAACTAAATTGGGATTTGACTGAATAGAGATTTTTATTCTCTTTAAGTTAAATTTTGTGATGTTTGTACACTTTTTCCATATCCTTATATTTTGAAAAACCATATCTCAATGGCTGTGTCATAAATACTCCACCATATGATGTACCATAATTTATTTGACCATTTTTATGAGCTATTTTAAAAGCAAGTTTAAGTTAAACCTTGTTTTTGGAAACTTCCTCTTCTACCTCACCCTGTTGGTTACTGGTTTTCAGAGGTGATATTTCTGTGGCAGTTTGAATTAAAAAAAAAAAAAAAAGCACATGGACTTCCAAGTGAAAAAAAAAAAAACAAAAAAACAAAAAAAACACCTGGTTCCTCTAGGTTGGGTCAGTGCTCTGGCTCTGAGCTGGCGCTAGGGAGCGTGCTATTATCACTAAGTGCTGAGAGCTGGTGTTAGGCAAGGTCAGGCCAGCGCTCCAGGGTTTAGAAAGGGGAAGGGAGAGGTTAAGGGATCTGAAATAAAAATTGAAGCCTGGAAAATGGAGGTGGGATGAAAGAGGAAAAGCCAGCTGTTCATCACTTTCTGTTCGTTCTGAATAAAAGTTCCTGGCCTGAGCAGCAGACTGCTGCTGCCTTCTAGCATTGTTGGTTAACATTTTGTACACAGGGAAGGGACTTTTTCACTCTCAACATCTTAGGCTAAATTGTACTGAGGAGAAAGAATTTTCTTTCTTTCTTTGGGACTATGGCTCAGCTGGAGAGTGCTTGCCTCACACGTGTGAGGCTCTGGGTTTGATCCTCAGCACCAAATAAAAATAAATGAATAAAATGAATGAATGAATGAATGAATGAATGAACGAATAAAGGTTTTTTTTAAAAAGATAATACATTTTTTTAAAAAATGGCTTTGGGTTGGATGACTCCAGACGAGGCTTCCTCTGCGGTAAAGGTGAGACAGTACTGGTGTAGGAATTATCCAGGAACACTGAAGATTTTGCACCATGGAGGATTTTAGTAAAGAAACTGTAATCTTGCTGGGATGGAGCAGTGAGGACTGGAGAAGGTGACTTAGTCCCTCGTGACTCTAGTATTCTGTGAGATGGTTTTTAGATTGAGGGAGTGCTCAGAAGCAGCCTCATGTCCCCTGAGCAGGGGGTTCAAGGCATTCTTTCTTGCTTCTGTCCTCCATGAGAACATAACCTCTAAATAACTGTTTTGCAGAGGTTGCTTGACTGCCTGTCACCCTTCCACCCTCATTCTGACATTCCCCATGTAATAGTAGCCACCCAAGGGACAGAACAACCTCCTTCCTCAGGAATAATGAGAAGAGGCTTTCCTTCCCCTAAGATGGGAATCAGGCAAAGACCRTGCCTGACGCTTAGCTACAGATGGGCCACCTGAACCGGCCTCTCTCTAGGTGGGTGGGTGCCCCTTCTCCATTCCCAGGCCACCRATCTCACCTGGAATAGGGCTACACTGGACACTGTGGTGTGGCTTTGAGTCCTCCATCTCCAGTTGGAGCTCATCCAGGTCCAGGTCATCTGAGAGAGGAGATGAAAATGTGGCTCAGGCCTGGACCTTGATGTCACCRTYCCACCTTTCTCCTAACCTCTACCCYTTTAAGTAGATGTGTCGCTGATTAACTGTTCAGTCCTGGTCATCCAGCAGCTCTGAACATCTGCTTCTACCCTTGAGTGTAAATATTTGGTCRGCTTCCTATTATTCACATATGGATCATGTCCATTGCGGGTTCTGAACACCAAATGTTATGATTAGTCCTGTTCTTTCTGTTCTCAGCCCTCGCCTGTCCTCTCCSATCAGCTGTAGTTCACGAGTACTTAGAATTTGGGCCGTTGCTGCCCTAATAATGGGAGCTACGGATCATACTGTTCTCCACTCTGGTCAGGAGGTCATTGTAATTCCATGTCCAGTGGCAAACAATAAACATGAAGGAGGACCTCTGTGAGCTGCAGTGTGTTCAGAGATGAGCCAGGGAGAGTGGGGRAGCAGAAGTCATTTGTGTGAGAAATAAAGTAGCTGGGGGATGGTTGGCTTGGAGAAGGCAAGCGTAAGWGGGGATATAATGGCTGTCTAAGAGCTGAAAGCCTGTTGATATAAAGGGGTTACACTTCTACATGCTGTTCTGTCCCAGAGGGTAGAACCAACATCAGTCGATGGATTATATAGAAGGAGGCAAAGTATGGTTCAAATGAAGATGTTCTAGCTCTTCAGCAGGTGCWCAGTGGACCCATGTGTTCTGAATATGATGCCAACTACATTTAAGAACTGGAAGTGCAGAGGAATTCAGGAATGAATAAAAGATGGTCCTGCTCACGAGGGGCTTATGGAGACAAATGAGGAGACAAACTATCATGCTACAAGGCCCTGTGTCAACTGATGGATTTACTTTTCAACAAGGGTTAACATTCCTTGAGTTGTTCCTCTCTCTGTAAGTCCTCGTTGCCATAGATTCCTTAACCTTCACAGTAGCCACATGAGGCAGGTGTCAGATAAGGAAACTGAGGCTCACTGAAATAAAGTGGCTTCCTCTGGCTAGTGATGACAGACCAGAATACAAATCCAGGTTTGTCTGATTACAGAGCCCAGATGTTCAACAATCATGGAGAGATGGATTGTTTGGGGGATTGGGGAGTGGGAAGGTGGGGGGAGGTTTACAGATGCATAAGCTAGACATTATTTATCACTGGAGTTATTGAACTAGACAGTTCCCAGTGTGAGAGGATGCACTTCTACCCTGAGTCAGAGTTTGGACTAGACAATCATTAATGTTCCTTCCAATTCTAAGCCGAAGTTCTACAATTCTAGGTTAGTAGGATAAAACAGAGATGGAAAGGYAAATCCATCATTGGAGAAATTCTGTAGCATCTTTGAATGAAATGAGATTTTTCTTTTTTCTTATTTACTATTGCAGTTTGGGRGGTGTTTTTGGATCTTGGGTGGGTTTTCTGTTTTGTTTGCAGTGGTGGGGATCAAATGCAGGTCCTTGAGCCACACCCCCAGCCCTATTGCAATATTTCTTAACCAGGACCTGTGGACTCTAGGGGATCAGACATCTCAGGGTCTCAAAATTCTATAAGAACTTTGAAATGGCTCTCTGAAATAGCTTCTAACTATAAAGACACAACTTTCTTTTATAAACACAATCCATCAATGAAAGACTTTTTTTAAAGAATAAAATATAAGTTTCTGAAGTCACACTTGGAAAAGTACCTGAGGATCCAACTGGCAAAAAGAGCTGTTTGTCTTTTAAAGGCACCTGTACATTCTTCAGGTTTAAAAGACAGTCCTTACGGACTCTTCATCATAAGGGAATGGATAGTGACTCTGTTGCACTTGTGCCCATCTTTGGCTCRAAGGTCTATTTCCTGTGTGGGTTCTTCTTCCCCACTTAAAGAGTAAACACCTTCAGTTGGTAGTTTTCCCAGGAGGCTGGAAGACTGTGGCCTTGGCCTGGGACAGCATTAGGGTGGGTAGGCTGAGGCGTGCCCACAGAGTCCTGGCATTTCCTTCCTTCTCTACCTTTCATTCCCTGCCTGCCCTCCAGAATGGGGCTTAGCAATTCTTTGAAATCAAAATGCATGAATGAAACACAAGGGGTGAAATCAATGGACTCTGTCTGAGGCTGGGAAAGTCATGGCCAAGGTGTTAAGTAACCAYTCTTCAAACAAGGAGGAAATCGAATCTGGCTGGAGCAGGGCTCCTGGCTTTCCTACTCGAGGCTCTTTTGCTCCCACAGGAAGTGGGGGGCCCTGCCCTAGCTCCCATTACAGGCGGCAGGCAGCCCACGAGCTCGACGCCCTGTGGTTCTCCAAGACTTAAGCCCCGGTGGAAAGTTTCACCTTGAGGAAGGAAAGTTTCCATTCCTCCTTCCAGCCCCCTGAGGGAGTGTGTAGCAGACATCCGGGAATGTCCCCTGGGGACAGCTGTCTGCTGGCTCAGACAGCTGCTGGGACCTGTGAACCTCCTTGTCAGGTCCTTGTGCCCTCCCTAGGAGGGGCTTTGGTGGACTGGGAGTGAGGGTCTCAGAAACCCCCAGACTGCCCACTCAAGGTTCAGCCTCCACGGCTATATCCTGAGCTACACTACTAAACTGTCCYCATGCCAGAAGGAGATCCAAGTTCTCAGCAGCAGCAGTGGTAAACCCACTTCACCTTWCATGGACTCTTTCAAGCCTCCCAACAGCCTATGAGAAATGTATTATATTTCTCCTTCATTTTTATTTTATTGGTGCTGGGGAGCCCAGGGATGCTTTTACCACTGAGCTACATTCCCAGCCCTTTTTATTTTTGTATTTGGGGACAGGGTCTCAGTCAGTTGCTGAAGGGGTCTCTAAATTGCTGAGACTGCCCTCAAACTTGAGATCCTCCTGCCTCAGCCTCCAAGTAGCTGGGATTACAGGTAYGTGCCACTGGTCCCAGCTATCTTTCTCATTTAAAGACAAGAAAATGGAGTGTCAGTAAGATTAAACAACTTATCTAAGGCAACCCAACTGGTGAAAGCTATAGTTGGGTTTAGACCTAATTCTGCTTACCCCATTATGAGATGTTTTTCTTACATACTTAGATTTAATTTTTCAGTTCAACTTCTCCATTGAGAGAGTACAGAGAGGAAGCTCAAGATGGAAAAAGGAATGCAAGAAGCAGGACTTGTTTCTCTCTCTCCTAGTTCTTCTTATGTTCAGTAACATGGCGGGGGGTGGGGGAGCACTGCTCTCTGCCCTTCAACCAAGACACCTCTTAGTGCACAGTTCCTCAGAACCCCTGGCTGTCCACCCCAATCTTCCCCTTTCACCCCAACTCTTCCAGAAATAGATCTGGCCCAAGACAGATCTCAGTGAAACCCTCTTGTGTATAGTGACCATTGAAGTCTCGCTTTCAGACTCGCAGGAGATGGGAGGTGCAGGATACCCTTGGAGGACAATAATTTCTACAATGTTCCTTTTGATTGTAGGACATATTGTGTCCAGATTTTTTTTTTTTTCTGGAAGCAGGTTTAATTCAATTGATTTAATTCAATCCTACTTGGTTCAGGTCTGTTTTCTCCTAGAATGCCCTGAGGCTGAAGGGCCCATGTGTCAGAGAAGGCAACCACAAAGAAATATGTGAGCCCCAGGGGCAGGATACTAACAGTGACAGCACCYRTGAGGTACTTKGTGAATCGCAAAGGAGGAACCTGTTGAGATGTTACTGTTGCCATTGTTACCATCATTATGTCTCCCCTAAGTACCTTTGGGGTGTTGCATTAGAGAGTCAGGCGCAAACAGAGGGAGAGTTCCTCCCAGGTCACTAGCAGCCACCCCCAGGCCTCCCTCAGCTGCCCCTCTTAGATTCCCTTCCAGGCCCCCCAWGCCTCCTCCCTAACTTCCTCTCTACAGCTCCCACCCGCCAGTCCAGGCGCCCCCCATCACTCACAGTGGTTCTCTGCTTGTCCAGCAAGGAGGCTCTGGGTCCTCYTTGGAGGCTCCTCCTCCTCCAGGTGGAAGTCCTCTGCCTGCCACTGCCCAGAGGGTTTGAAGAAGCTGGCACAGACCCCATAGGCACAGCACTGGTAGGCATAGGGCACCTCCAGAATCCTGAGGATGGGAGAGGGGCTGCCTCATTATGTTTGGAGTCTCAGACATTAGTCCTGAGTTAAGAGATTCCCCAGCCCAAGAACTGGGGACTAAGTMCCTGCCCTTCAACCACAAAGTGTCCTGCTCACCATGCCAGCAGCCTCGAGGATTTGATTTGTTAAGAATCTTGCACCCTGACTCTGAGGGGCTCTGGGCACATGCCAGTCTTTTCCTCATTCATCCTCAGAACTGAGATGGGGACAGAAATGTCTGCCCTTTATTGAAGGAGGACTCTTAGCAGACTCAGAGTAGGAAGCAACTTCCCCAAGGTCACACAGCACTTGCAGTGCTCTGCTCCCCAGCCTAGGCTGCGGCTCTTCTTTCATATTGCAGGAAGCAGGGATTCTCCTAGGGATGCTCTGCCCTTGCCCTCTGTGAGACCCAGACCCTCGCCTTCCCCTGTGGGCACATCAGAGCTGGACAGGGTGTCCTTGGAGGGTGAGGGCAAATGCCTTGGGCACTTCATTAGTTTATAGTAGACAAGGCTCGGGCCACACAGGCTGCACTGCTGCTGCCGCTGCACGGAGGAGGCCTGGATGTCATTAACACCAGGGACGGGCTGTGCAGTTTGTTTTCCACTCATCATGCCCTGGGCTCTGCCCTGATTCCAGGGACCCAGATGCTGCCAAAGTGAGGACGGACAGCCTGGCTATGTGGAACCAGGCACAGTGAGGAGGTCCAGGGGCCTTCAACCCCGCTTACTACCACCCTGGTATGTTCCAGTGTTCCCTAGGAGTGGTACTTGGGGTGGGGAAAATGCTAGAAAGAGATGAAGAGGAAGAGGAGGCATGTAGGAGGCCAGACTCCCAGGAGGCCCAGGGAGCCTTCCCGTGCAGTCTCAGACACACTCCAAGCCATAGGCTCCTCTTGGGGTGAGGTCCCATGGCTTTCTCCCTGTCCCTCCCTGGCCTCCAGCAGACCCCGGGCAAACATACCCAGGTGTGGGGGGAAAAGCCAGGCCCTCACCTCAGTCTTGGGAAACTGTCCTTGGAGAAGGCCTGAGACAGAGCCAGGTTCCCTTTGAGCTTCAGATGCATCAGGCCCCCCAGCCCAGCCAGAGGCAGTGTGGTCAGCTGGTTGTCTGTCAGGTCCCTAGGACAGTGGATGGCAGGGTTATTGGCAGTCAGTGGGATTGCTGAGGGGGCAGGGCTGTGCASAGGGTGTGGCCAGTGTGCCTGGGATGGAAGCAAGAGGAGAGGAGCAAAGGACAGAAGATGAGCACAGAGAGAAGACGGCATTACACGCCGGGGAGGAGTGTGGTCAAGAGTTGCCAGAGGCACCATCCACAAMGTATTCATTCATGTGGTCATTCAACAAACACCAAGTGCCAGCTATGTACCACTTAATGCCAAGCTGTCCCAATTTAGAGGTAACAGAGCCCCTCAGACACAGCTCCTGTATCCAGGTCTGATTCCCATCCAGGAATCCCTGCCCATCCCCCTAGGGGATCTGTCTGCGGTTGGCTTCCTCCTCCTTTCTTTSCTCTGCTATTCTGATGCTACAGAGGCCAGAGTTGGGGATAGGACAGAGCTGGGCATCTGGATACCGTGGGGATTGGCCCTACGGTGCCTTCTGGAGCCAGAGCTGAGGACGTCGTACATGGTCCTCCACTGGAGATGCATGAGAGGAAGCCGAGGCTCCAAAGCAAACACCACCACCACAGACGGTGCGTGGTGGAAATAGCCCTGGACTGGAAGGCAGGAAACCTGGCACTGTCACCAACTCCCTGTGTAACCAAAGGGAGTCACAAATCTGCCTGAGTTCCAATGTCCTCATCTTTCAAAGGATAAAAATATCTGCCCTACCTATCTGGCAGGAGTACAGCAAACAGGAGAGGGAAGACGGAGGTGAGAGTTTTGCAAGGTCACAGCCCAGAGCCCAGAGAGCCGCAGCCTGGGGAGAGACTGCAGCCTGGGAGTCCTGGGCTCTGTCCTCGGCTCTGAGCCTCTCCCTCTGGACCTTGGAGATGTCACCTGTGACATGAGGCCTGGGGCTCTGCAGCCAGTGCTGGAGCTAGCCCAAAGGGGTCTCTGTGTTATTAGAAAAGGACCCCCTGGGGCCGGCCTGCCTTTGGGACACTCGACTTGGAAAACAGGGAGGTAGGAGATCAGGAGGATCCCTGGTGCAGCCAATAACCTGTACCACAGMGTGTGGCAGCCCCTGAAATAAAGGCCACGTGGCCAAACCTACAAGCTCCCTATTTACATTCTAAATAAATTAGCAGACCTCTGGTCCCCGGCTGTTCTGCAGAATGGCAGCCTTTAGAGTAATGTCAAGCAGGACCCCTGAGCTCTCTGAGACCCTGGGTCCACCAACAGCCACCACCCTCTTGTGTTGAAGAGTTCCAGGCCCATACACCCCCTTTATTGGTGCATGTAGAGCATCGAAAGGCTGGAGGTGGAGTGGGGGATGGGACGGGGGACAGGGGGAGGACTTTGGCTGCCAAAATGTTGCAGAACATTAGCAGATGATGTTCTGGAGCTTGCAAGAGGTGGATTCTGTTTATCAGGCCCCACAGTGTGTCAAACGGACTGTCAGAATGATTGATTAGGCTGGAGCCCATCTCCCTGGCATGTGTGGTCAAACTTTAATGCATGTCCCTAATCAGGGGTGTTTCTCCTACCCCCACTGGACATCCCACAGTTCCAATTGGTCCCTAGCATCCTAGAGGAGAGTGAGTGGGCACTTACAGCTTGACCAGGGAGCGCAGTGTTGAGAAGGCTTCTGGGTGGATGGATCTGATGGCATTCCAGCTTAGGTCCCTGTGGACAAAGAGTGTGACAGGAGAGGATGGTGGCATGTGGAGTTCTCATTGTTCCCACCTGGGCTCTTCCTCCCATCTGACCTCCCTCCAGTTGCAGTGACCTTAGCCTTTGGGGGAAGATACCTGCTGCTGTCCAACTCCCAGCCTGGTTGTGGCATCAGAAACAGGGACATAGCAGCTTGGTTCTAGAGCCACATGGCCCCTGAGTACCATCTGTAGGGGGAAGTACTTCTTGTCCTCTGTGTGTGATGGGGGTAGGGGCGGTGGAACAGGAAGTCCGTGCATGTCACATATGTGGACACTGATCACATGTGCTATGGGTATGAACCTGGCATTGGCTCCTCCAGGGCCCACCCCTGGGTGCTGCAGGTACTCACAAGGCTTGTAAGGAGCTCAGCTGGCTGAAGGTGTCAGCTCCGATTTCCCAGATTCGGTTGTGTTGGAGGCCGCTAGGGCAGCAAGAGAGGTTGGATGAGCCTCTGGGCTCAGACTCTGGCTCTGATCCACGCCCCCTGAGCACTGGGAAGAAGAAAGAAGAGCCCCCCACTTCTCCTGGCACAGGAAGAAAGGGCCCAGCCCGCGGATGTCACCAGAATTAAAGGGAGCACAAGGGGATCCGGTTGCCTTGGGTAAGTGGGTCAGGAGACAAAGCCACAAAACCATCCCTGTGGCCCAAAAGGGAGTCAGCTTCCAATGTTCCCACCGGGCCTGGCTCCCAGCCCAGCTGAACTGCCCCTCACTCCCCCACTGCCATGGGTCCTCCAGATCCCAGCCCAGCGGCAGAGCACCGCCCAGACCTTGGACAGCCCAACAGACTGGCCTGAGCCAGGAAGCAGAGCTCACTAAACTGGTGAGATGGATCCTGGGCCCCAGCAATGTCAAAGAGCCACAGACAAACAGGACAGACCCTTACACATTTTCTAGCCCAGACTCTACAAAGGAGTGCCCTGCAAAATATAGATGCACAGAGGCCTAGGATGCCATATTAGTTTGAGAAAACAGGAGCTGGGTGAATAGGGCTTAGAGAATTTTTTAAAGTGATGTTTTTCCTTGTGAAACTTGAATCCGGGGGGCAGGGAGGGGGATGTTGGAGAGTGTGAGTGTGTGTGTGTGTGCGTGTATGTTTATGGGCATGTGGAAATGAGTGTGCACACTCCAAAATGCAGGGTGCTTCCAGCTCCACTGAACCCTTCCCACATCCAGCCCACCAGGCCCTAATGTGGCCTTTTTCTTATCACTACTGAGTTTTACTTTCTAGCTTCTTCTTTTTTTTTTTTTTTTTTAATTTTCCCCAGTGCTGGGGATTGAACCCAGGCCTCACACATGCTAGGCAAGCATTTCACTACTGAGCCAAAGCCCTGGCCCTCATCTTCTGCTGTATTTCTGTTGCTGTTGACTCATAAGGAGCCACCTTGAGACTCCTTTAGGGTTCCAGCTCCTGGGTCTGTCGTCTGCTGTGAGTCCTAGGGGCCATATCCAGTCCTCTCCCAGGCTCTCATCCCTAATGCTTTTGTTCAACAAACTCAGAGAAGGGAGAAAATTCTGAGCCTGATTCGCCCCTGGCTGATCCTCCCCTCAGACCTGTCAAGTCTGGCTTGYCTTTGTCTCCCTCAGCCCCCAAACTCACATTTCCTCCAACTTCTCACACCTGCGCAGACTGGGCAGCTCCTCAATTTGATTGTGAGACAGCTCCCTGGGGAAGAGAGAAAGGCCAGGGCTGGGGCAAAGCAGTGGCTATGTGGGGGCAGGAGAAGGAGCTCTGGCCAGGGCTGTGCTTTCTTGTCAAGTAGTCAAAGGTCATAGGGACCCTATAGGAACACTGCAGTGGAGGATAGCAGCCTCCTCAGTTAGACCTCTCTTCATGTCCCCTTGCTGAGCCCTGGTCCTCACCGGGCCTATAAATACCTTACTGGTATTTTTCTCAATAGGGCAGTATCCACCAGAAGAACCCCGGAGGCATCCTGGGGAAGTGGAGCAGGAGGGGAGAGGGCTRTGGTGGAGAGAGGACCTGAGGAGAGAGGCTGAGTGGGAAGCAGGACACCRAGACAGCCAAAGGGAACCTGGGCACCACTGAGCAAACCTGTCTGTGCCAACTGAAGTCCATAGTACCTAAAGCCACTGTTTATAGTGTCGGTAGGGAAGATCAGAGTTGGGGCCCTAAGGGAACAGCTGGCTTAGTGCCTTCACCTACCAGATGAGGAACATGAGGCCCAGAACCTTAGAACAGAATCTGTCCAGGGACACACCACTGGAGAGTGGCAAGACTGGCTCTGGAACTCACATCTCAGGACACCTGTGTGTCAGCATACCCTTCCTGAGCAGTGGATCTATGTACCCTGGTGAAGAGTCTCAGATTTAAGTTGGAGCCAAGAAAGAGAGAGGGGGAAAACAAAAACAAAAACAAAAAAACCTTGACTTACTTTATAGGTCACTTAGGTATCTTCACACTCCCAAAAGGAATGACCTTTCTTGTATAAATTCGAGTAATGATGCCTTTTATTGAGCACCTATGGTATGCTAGGTACTTAACACATATTTTTCAATGCTTACAACTGTACTCCTTTTACAGATAAAAGATTGCAGTTCAGAGAAATTAAAGGGTGACTCCAATTAATGCAGCCAATGAGGGGCCGAGCTGGGCCTCAAACAACCCAGGTCTGACTCCAAAAACCATCATCTTTATACTGAACAACAGGACAACCCAGGCTCTCTGGGGCAGGTTCTCAGAAGGAACCTAAGCTGCCCCCCTCTCCAGAAAGATGTGACCCAGAGGGACAGAAGGAAGCAGGGGAGGCCTTTGCTGGGACATGGGGGAAGGTGCATGATGCCAAGACAGTGGAATGCTTGTGAGCCACTCACAGGACTCGGAGCCTGGGCAGTTGCTGGCACATTTCCGGTGGGAGCAGCCGGATGCCTGCGCGGGTCAGGGTCCTGCAGGGAGAACAGAGACAGAGCTGGCACCAGGCCCAGGGCCCTGCCATTCCCAGCTGTGGTTCTCCAGCTCTGGACCCGATATTGTCGTGGGAGGACAGAGCTGACAAAAGAAAGAAGTGGTTGGAGAGACAGGGCAGGGGCGGGGTTCCAGGGACAGAAAGGAGCAGGCCGTGGCATCTGAGTGCCAAACTCCTCTAGGCCTGGAGGAACTAGGGGTGGGAAGTGGAGAGAGGGAGAGAGAGACCCAGCCCAAGGGCTCTGCTTGACAGGCAGTCCCTGCAGGCTCAGCCCCACCCACCCATCCCATCTGATCCCCTTCCTGAGCATCATAATGGTCTCCAGCAACTAAGCCTGTAGGACTAAATCTTATGTGCTCTAGAGGCTTAAGAGAAGAAGAATGGCCATGACAGAGAATAGAGAGAAAAAAGTTCTAGTCGAACCCTGGGAATGAAGCATAGAGTTCCCTCCCTATGCCTAGCGGGAGGGAGCAGAGATGAGAAAGAGGGAAGGACCCAGGGGCCAGSGTGGAGAGGGTAGTGGAGACAGATTGGAGAATGGGCTTGGCTTGGGCACAGGGTGTCCCAGTAAAGATCCAAGGCCAAGGTCATCCTTGGGGAACTATTATTTCCCTCGTGAAAAAATTCCCACATGCCAGCAAATCTAGGGGGAAGACAATAGAGACACAGAGAAGCAATCCAGTCTCCAAATGTCATGAATAAGCTGTGTGATGTGGGGCGGGGAGTTCACTTTCTAACAATCCCCCTGGGTRTTTGCCTGATTGTTTCATTCATTCATTTAAATGGTTCGGAGGGCCTACTATGCACTGATACCCCTTCCCCACACCACAGAATGCAGTCATGGGTGATCTGAGAAAGTCTTTGTTAGAATCAAGCCTCAGAAAGACACGGGAGGTGGGTTTTCACAACTCGGCTCTGGGTCCAGAGTCCTCTGCACCCAGGGCCCGGGGTTAGAACCTCTGAAGTCAGGGAAAACCAGCTGCCTCAGCCCCATCCTGCCACCCCTGCCTGGCCTGGAGGCAGTGCACATAGAGATGGCCCTAGACCCTGGACAGCACCAGGAGCAGAGGCAGGCCAGGGACCCTGCCCCCCAGGGTCAGGAGGCAGGCAAGAACTCCTGGGAGTGAAGCTGGGGAGGCAGAGCAGGAGAAGGCAAGAGAGGATCCACTCACAGGACCTCCAGGCTGCTGGTGCCTTTGAGGTCCGGGAACTCCTGGATGTCCGTGGCGCCATTCAGGGACCTGGAAACAGAGACGACAAGTGCTAAGGGGTGAGTCAGGGCGCCTCAGCTTTGGGGAATCTCAACCCTCAGTCTTCTCCCCATTCAGAGACTCTACCTTTTGGGAAAATGTCATCTTTCCCCCAGCCTCCCTCAAATCAGCCTCTCTGGCCCTGACAGTGGCTGAACCATACTTAGCAGGGTCCAACTGGCCATTTTCTTGCCCCTTGCTATTTTTTTGGTCGTGCTGAGGATTGAACCCACACATACTTGACAAGTGCTCTACCACTAAGGCTACATCCCCAGATCTTTATTATTATTATTTTATTATTATTATTATTATTATTATTATTATTATTATTACTATTGTTAGACAGGATCTTACTAAGCTGCCCAGGCTGACCTGGAACTTGCGGCTCTCCTGCCTCAGCCTCCTGAGTCGCTGGGATTACAGGTGTGAACCCAGCCAGTCATTTTTCTAAAATTGACTCAGCCCACCTCAGCCCAGATTGAGCTGATCAATTTCAGCTCTTAGGCCTCACCTTACAACAAAGCAACAGCAAAAATCCACAGGCARTTGCCTCCGTTTAAAAGGCAACCTCTTGAGTGTTTCTGGAAAAGTCTTTGACTCTTGGAGTTTGTTTCTTATAGAGCCTGAGAAAGGGTCTCCCCTGTTCTGCCATCTGCTGTGGCTTTATTTGAATCTGTTGGTTCTTAGGCTGCTTTAGACTGCTGGGTCTCCCTCTCCACTTTTCCCTGCACACAAGTGCACCAAAAAAATTCATCAAAGACCCTGAGGAGGCAGCCATGGGCCCAGGATCAGAAGTTAAGGGTTGGGGGCTCATGCCCAGTCAGTACCTGTGAGCCCCACATTCCTTCTATAAAATGGAAAGAAGCCATGGGTCATGGAAGAGAAGGGAGACCATTAAGTCCAGCTAGATCTGGAAATAGGGCRAATGACCTGGAGGCCTACAGCCCTGAGGAGCACGTCTCCCAGTAGGACTGTGCCTTGCAGGTGAGAGATCTGCAGGCCAAAGGCAGGAGAGAGCAAGAAGGAGTGAGGGTGGGAGAGGTCCTGGCTGCGGCAGCCTTCGGATGCCAACTTACAGCGTGTGCAGTTTAGGCAGGTACTGGAATGCTGACCTTCCCACAAACTGGATTGGGTTATCATAAAAGTGTCTGGAAGAAAAAGACCCAAGCACCTAATTCAGTTTTTACCCCTTTCAGCTGGGACTAAGGGTGACCTCTGCTACCTTCTCCTCCCAGGAAAGGGACAAAGAAGAAGGCTAGCCCTCTCCCATAGTCCTGCTCCCCTGCTGCTTTCTAAGAATGGCCCTGGCCCTCCCCAGYCTCTGTCCTCCCCCTGCACCAACACCCTCAGCACCTAGAGACAGAGAGGCAGTACTCACATTGTCTGCAGCAGAGGGTTGCCCATGAAGGCCTTTTCAGGGATAGCCTTGATGTTATTGTTGTGGAACCCCCTGGAAGACAGCGCCCAGGAGCAGTGAGGACTTGGGGAAAAGTATGGAGAGGGAGAAAATGGGACTCCCTGGGGCTTCCTGACGATTATACAGACKGCGAGACCAAAGAGACATCAGCCCGGAGGCCCCAGGTTCAAATCCTGCCTGTAAATTTTCTTGGTTCAACAGCACATCCATCCTTTCCCCTGATGGTGGGAGGAGAGTGAGGGGTGGAGTCCCAGGCCGCAGGCCTCTGGAAGCCCATGAGAGCATGCCAAGGCCAAGACCCTGAGTACTGTCCCAAAGGGGAGCCCTCTCCCGGATCACTTATGTCAGGAGCTCTGGTGAGTCCCCACAGAGGAAGCCAAGGGGCTGTGGAAGGAAAACAGGGATGCAGAAAGCCAGGGCAGGGGATGTCTCTCGAATGGAGGCTGACTTGGCCTCAGTGCCCTAAAATGAGGAAATATAGAAGCGCCTGTAGCAGCAGGAGGGACAAGGGACAGAGTCAGGGGTTGAATGACCAGGCACGGCATCATGGGGAGCTGAGGGTCTGGGGTTCGGAAGCCAGGAACTATGGGTTTGGTGAGTTGGGAAGAACATTTCCCAAGAAGTCACATGTTATACTGAAAACCGCACAGCCATGCTKAGCAGGCCCTTTTAGTCATCCTCTCGTTCACCCGAGCCTCTCCCCTCCTGCTCTCCTACCGGGGCTTTCACCTTCGCGCTCTCGCTCAAAAGTTTACCTTGGACACCTCAGGCCAATGTCACCCACCAAGTCCTATTTGTTACTTCATTCATTCCTTCTATTCACTCATCTTTTATATATACATGTATATACACACATATATACAAACATAGACACTTTATACATTATACATACACACACACACATATAAACATATATATATATATATATATTTTTTTTTTTTTAATACCTCCTTTGTGTTTTGTGCTGGACCAAACTTTGAAGGATCAAGAAGTTTATACGCAGTGTCCCTGTTCTCAAGTAGCCTTCACCCAGTGGATGATAGGTAGGTAGGCAGAGATGGATAAGTGATCATAGATGGAGAGAGAGAGATGATCCAGGTAGATGAGAGATAGACATGGATGGATAGAAGGAAATAGGTGTTGAATGTTTGAATGGATGGATGGATAAATAAAGATTGGTAGAGATAGATACAGATAGATAGACAAGAGATAGATATAGATGGATGGATGGGTAGATACAGATGGATGGATGGATGGATAGATATAGATCAATAGATCTGTATGGATAGATACAAAGATGGATAGAGATGGATGGATAGATACATACACACTCACACCCCGTGTACATGTATTTTCTTGCTCCTGCTAACTTAGTGTCTGCTCTCTCTTCCCTAATGCTCGGGGACTTCCCTAGGCCTTGGCACATCCTGTTTCTTCCATGCCCCCTTGATTGATCAAACATCATCCTTCTTTCATGTCTTAGGAAAAATGGGGAAACGATCAGCCCTCCTTTGGAAATAATTCCTTCATTGGCAATAGAGGACTTCCAATAGTGCCTCAGACGCTTTCCTCTGGCTGGTTCGGCCATTGTTTATCTGCTGCATACACTTGGCATTCACATCTTTAAATTTCTGGAAGAAATGAGGAAGGTGGCATGGGCTGGTCCTATTGGCCTTAGGTGGCTGTTTGAAATATGAAGATGCTGTTCTGCCTGAAGGTCTGGGGCTCATTTCAGGCCCTTAATCTGACTCCCGCCCAGCTGTACACTAGACCTCTCAGGTCCTGAGAGTCCCCCTTCCAGCAAGGCAGCTTTCCTCCAGTGGTCATCCCTTTGCCAGCTCGGCTGCCTGCACTGTTCTGCTGTCTGAAATGAGGCAGCAACTTCTCCGGAACCCCACTCATCCTTTAAGACCAATCTCAGGATGCCCCAGTTCACGTGACCTTTCTGTCCCCTGTGGTCATTTTAGTGAACACTGCTCGATTTCGGGTTAGAGTCATGCTGCTTTGCCCGGTTCTGCTTTCCACGTGTTCCTTTGTGTGGTGGAAGGCTGAAGGGTCCTTGAGGAAGGCCCATGTCTACCTTGCTCTTTGTTTAGCACTAAGTGCATCTCTGGGCCCGGTGGTGCTCAGTGAATGCTCAAATAGAATAATGAAGTGTGACTGTGGGAACCAGAGGGAATTTCTCAGTCCTCTTAGAGACAAGGTGATGAATAGCAACCCTGTAAATGGGCCCCCCGGTGCCTCTCCTCGTTCATCTCTGGACACATCCCAACCAAGGCAGGGACAGTGCCAGGCCCAGGCTACATAGGAGGTGGCTCATGCCATGTGTCTTCCCAGGCTGGAAGGACCCAGGGCTATTTAGGCTGATGACACACCCCCAGGAGATGCTCAAAGCCAAGTTAAGGAGGCCTGTGACCGCTTAGAGCTATGCTGAGAATCAGCAGGGCCAGTGGCCACAGATTTAACAAGGACCAGGGGAGGTGAGGAGGGAAGGGTATGAGCAAGGTCCTGGCTGGCTGCAACCCCTGCCCTTGGAAGGAGACACCCGCTGAAACCAGCAGAGGAGCTTACAGTTCCTGTAGTCTGCCCAAGGTCCGGATGGCCACGGGGAACTCCTGCAGCTCGTTATAATTCAGGTCTCTGGAACGGAAAGCAGAGCCATCATTAGCACAGAGGCTTAACAGGGCATGTCAGGGTCCCAGAGAAATGGAAACTTGGCTCTGGGGTTGACCAGAGAGATGGGTTTTCCAATCTGTTGAATAAAGCTGCCAATGTCTGGAAACATATTTTTGGAATGTTTGCACTCCGTTCTTACTCCATGAATCCTCAGGCTTGGAGCCTTCCTGGCAGCAGAACCGTTTGGAGTGGGGGACACACTTCAGGGGTGTGGATACCTGGAACCACCTTCTCAGAATAGTCTCCATAAGCTGCAGAAAGTATCTCATGACTTTGGAGATATGAGGGGAGGTGGCAGGAGAAATGGGGTGATGTGTGTGTGTGTGTGTGTGTGTGTGTGTGTGTGTGTGTGTGTGTTATTGGGGATTGAACCCAGTGGCGCTCCACCATTGAGGTGCACCACAAACCTTTTTCTTTTATTTATTTATTCATTCATTCATTTTGAAATGGGGGGGAAGGACTTGCTAAGTTTTCCAAGGCGGGTCTTGAACTTGTGATCCTCCTCAGCCTCCAGAGTAGCTGGGATTTARAGGTATGCCCAGCGAATGGGGTGATCTTCAACACATTGCTCCTTTCTTGATTCCAGAAAGTTTCTCAGGTGACTACTTTGGCCRTAGTCTCTGTTGTTGTCTTCTACCAAAATGGACAGTGTTTTAAAATCTTTGCATAATAACAGCTATTCTTTATTTTCTCTAACTCTTTTTCATTTTTTTCTACAATGAATACATATCACATGCATAATCAGAAAACAATGACGGTAGTTCTTAAAAGGGGTGGCAACCCAAGTTGGCAAGGATGTGGGGAAATAAGCTTTCTCATAAACTGTAAGTGGGAATTTAAACGCATGYAATTTTTTTTGTTTTGTTTTTAGAAACAATTTACCAACATGTTTTTCAAATTAAAAGATGATCCATACTCAGGATGTCAGTCTCGGAATTTGTCCCACAGAAAAATCTATAGCCCTGTATAAAGAGGCTCATGAAAGCATTCTTTAGGCAACAGGAGCCAAATATTGACCCTAACGTGATCCTGGCTTCGTTCCTTTCACTCTTTCAAGGGGCCTCTGTGTTGGTGCCCTGTGGAGTGGTGGACAGGGCMGAAAGGCAGGAGAGATGGGAGAGGCACAGGGAAATTTTTATTTTTATCAGAAAAGATTTAGAACCGCTCATGACAAACAGAAGCAGCCCCCACAGGCAGGAGCTTTGCTCAGCCCCGTGTGGAAATGTGCCTGATTTGGGATCTTGATGCCTCTGAAGTCCTGACTTGCACAGTTCCAGGCTTGGCAATGGTAAATATGTGGAGGGTCAGTTCGAGTGTCCCTCTGGAGSCTCTCAGGGGGACCTGAGCTCGTCTTCTCAGCCTTTTAAAGCTGCCCCTTTCCTGACAATGTTAATGGCTGACTGGTGCCAGGGCAGGGGAACCATGTGGAGGTCCTTTAATTACAGAGTGACACTTGGCAGGGTTTTGTGATAAATATCATGTTAACATAGAGATAATGGCAGGGTCCTCTGCATGACAGGGCCATTACACTAAATAGTCCACAGGTAGAGCCAGGAACCCAGCCCAAGGGCCAGAGGAGCAGTGACAAGCGTCTGGCAGCCAGAGAGCTAGATAATTGTCCCCCTCCATACACACACTAATTACCCGATTACCCTCAGACTGCCCTGGTGATCCTGGGTAATTATAGCATAAAACCCCTTCTACTCTGCTCTGCTCCCTCCTTTAGCAAACCAGACACCCTCSCCTCCCATGTGTCAAATGTAGATTAGCTTCCAGAGACGCTCCCACAGGCTGTGCAAAGGCAAGGCTGGGGTCCAGCTGAGGTCAGGTCATGTGCAAAGCACTTAGACTGAAACTGGAGGTACTGGGGTTGGAAGCAGGGGGTACTATTCAAACTCTGGGGTTCCTGGAGTTCTACCAGGGGCTGCAAAGGATGCCTGGACCATCACATCAGGAGAACTGAGTTTGGAGGCAGCAAAGATGAAGGAGATGGGCACTTTTTACTCTTAAATTACATAAATGATTCATCTTCACATCTCAGTGTTTTAWAATCAGGTGTCCTGTGCCGGGCATAGTGGTACCTGTAATCCCAGCAGCTTGGGAGACTGAGGCAGGAGGATCATGAGTTTAAAGCCAGCCTCAGCAATTTAGTGAGGCCCTAAGCAACTTAGTGAGACCCTGTCTCAAAATAAAAAATAAAAAGGGCTGGGGATGTGGCTCAGTGGTTAAGTGCCCTGAGTTCAATCCCTGGTACCAAAAATAAAATAAATTAAAATAAAGTGTTTTCTTTTATCTTGGCTCAGCTGCATTAGGAATTTTCCAGTCACATGAGAACTGTATTTTCCATAAGTAACATGGACATATCTCCATTTAAGAGCCTTCATATAGAGCTGGAGATATGGCTTGATGGTAAAATGTTTGCCTAGCATGCATGAGGTCCTGTGTTTAACCCCCACCACCACCATACATGTGCACACACACAAAAAGCCTTGCTATTGAATTGTTTTCTCAATTGCAAAGAATTATATTATTCTGACTGGGTTTGGTGGTATATGCTTTTATTCCCAGTGACTCAGGAGGCTGAGGCAGGAGAATCACAAATTCAAGGCCAGCCTTAGCAATTTAGCAACATAGCAAGACCCTGTCTCAAAATAAAAAATTAAAAGGTCTGGGGATGTAGCTTAGTGGTAAAGTGTTCCTGGGTTCAATCCTCAGTACTACCCCTTGAGCGAAAAAAGAATTACATTATTCTGCCCCAGAGCCTTTGCTAGTTTTTCCATCTGCCTAGAATGCTTTCCATCTAGATATTTGTACGATTTATTCCTCACTTCACTCAGGTCTCTGTTGAAATTCTGCTTCATCAGAGAGGCCTTCTTTGACTATTTTATTTCAAATAACACATCTGTTACTTGCTATTCCTTTTCTTTATGCCTATTTYTATCAAAAGGTGGCATCTACCTGAAGACTGGACTGGTCTTGTGAATGGCATTCACTGACAGAGTGAGGTGGAATTGACACGGTGTGACCTGGTCCTAAGTCACAAGAGCCTCAATCTTGAAATACTCCCACTACCACACAGTGAAATCCAGGTTGGATTCTTGCATGGCGAGAGCCATGCGGAGAGAGAGGACCAGGCCCCGGCCAGCAGCCAGGCCCCAGACATGTGAGTGAGCTTGTCTCTGTTTTCAGCTTTTTGTCACTGTGGCCAAAATATCTGAGAAGAACAACTTAGAGGAGGAAAAGTTTACTTTGAGCTCACAGTTTCASAGGGTTAGTTCTAYAGTCTGCTGAGTCCATTTCTCTGGACCCAAGATGAGGCAGAACATCGTGGTGGCAGGGTGTGGTGGAAGAATATGGTCTCCATTCTTAGCATCCAAGAAGCAGAGAGAGTGAAGGAGGAAGGGGCCACGGGGAAGATGAACCCTTTCAAGGCCAGCCCCCATGAACCCATCTCCTCCAGCCATGCCCCACCTGC